ATATTATTAAGAACTCAAAGAATCTTATAAGAAATTATGCTAATTTAGTAACAATGCTTTTAAAAAACTCGATATTTCCATTCAGAGACTAAAAAACAGCGGAAAAAAACGAAAAAAAAAATTCCCCATTTCCAGTTCTTTCTTCCCAGATCCTTTTTAGAAGCAGTGAAAGAGCGGTGCCAGAAAAGCGAGGATAAGGGAAAACAAATTATACCTGATTTTTATCAAGCACTTCCAGGAATTTCTCCTTATATTCCCAGACCGGAAGCGTTGCTCGTTTCTTGTAAATTTCAAAATATCGTTGCGTATATGGTTGGCCGTTGAACGGATTTAGTTGTACCTTAAAAATTTAGTATTAAAAATCAAAGAAACTCGCTACATTTGGGTCTCTCTCTCTCCAAAAAATTTAATCATCCAAAAAAAGACTGATTGGTAGAAGAATGCCAAAAGCAACCATCCGCAAACATAGCTCCTGACACCACCCTTTTCAAGGCGAAATTTAGAGGGCTGGTCGTTTTTTCCCCCCTCCAACCCAAAAAATATCAGTACCAATTTACCATCGAAACAAATCAATGAATCGCAGAGGCACTGGTGAAATTAAACAATCGAATTTCAGCCTCCCAATAACGGTAGTGCTAGTACACCGTCAGTGCAGCACTTAGCACATATGATGGGAAAATAACTGGACAACGTAGGGATTGCCCGTGCAAAGATGCGTTTTTTGCATAGGTCCCCGCAGTTTTTGTCGCTACCAGCACTGGTTTTTCCAGCAAATGCTTCTAGCTAAACAAATTAGGACTGGCTACGAGAAGTATCAGGAAACACCCCATCAAAATTTCAGCTCTCTAGCTTCTCAGGTTAACGAGCTAAATGTTTTTCTGCATTGCATAGCTGCAAAAAACGCACAAAAAAACTGAACAAAAAAGTAAAATAAAATGGAATGGAACATACCACTGGACGACGTGGCTTCTCGACGGGTGAATGGCTACGCAGATGATCTCTTTCACGACTTCGGCTACGGTTTTTTCGTGGTGAACGTGATCTCGAACGGCTAAAAAAACCATTCATTATTTCCGATAATCAAAACAAAGTAAAAAGCCAAAACTGTCTTCATATTCACTGCCTGTGAGGGGCATAGGCGGATCCGGGACGATCTCCTGAACAGGGGAGGGGGCGATTTTTTCCCCTCCCCCGCCCTCGACTTTAAACTACGGTGACGATCGGGAAATGTGGGGGGGGGGGACTCCTGGAGGGGCCACAGAGTATTGAACAGAGTCTACTACAGTAAAACAAATGCTACTTGAGCCCCCGGGGGAAAACCCCTCACCTCCCCCTGGATCCGCCAATGATGAAAAGAGAGGTACTCATAAATTGCCTCAGTGGCGACATGTGCCAAGAGCAACCACACGCTGGTAAAGCTGTCTATTCCTCCCCTCTAAGAGTTGCTCAGAAGCCAGCTAACGGTTTTTT